TCACTGAAGAGTGAGTGCTCACAGGCTCCTACAGTGTGGGTGGCGCAGCGCCACACTTCCAGCGTGGTCTCTGTCTTCCAGGAGTGGCTAGCCTTTGGGGGAATTGTGTGCACAGCCCAAGTCCACCTTCAGGTCCAATGAGATCCTCCCCACCCCCACTCCCCACCCCCACTGCCCCTTGTCAGCTGCCAAAGCTCACAGCTGCATCCCTCTCCAAGGACTGCCCTCGGCTGAATGAGGATGCCTCGCCCCGCCAGTGACTGTCCCTTCAGGGGAACAAAGTCTGGTCCTCGCTTCCTTCCGTTTAGGACGTCTGGGAAGGGCCACCCCAGCTTCAGAGCTCCTCCTGGCCTCAGCTGAAGCTTCTTCTCCTGCAACTGTGTCCCCCTGGGCCAACACCCCCCTGGGCCAGCCTGTGATCTCACTCCCTCACACTGTTGGCCCCAGAGCACTCCCAACAAACCTCTTCATGTAGAACTCAGAGACAGAAAGTCCATTTCCTCAGGAATGTCACTGGAACAGCAGTTGGAGCCAGGTGTGGTCCTGGAGAACCGGCTGTGAAAACAGCAATAATCCCGGGGCTTGCTACCGGCTGGTAGGCAGGCTCTCCTCCTCCCCAGCAGGCTGCAGAGGTGCGGTTGTTAGAACTTCCGTGGGCAGTGAACTGGGAGGAAATACCAGTGGAAAGACAGGGCGTCAAGAGGTTAGGGGGCCAGTCCTAAGGAAGTCCATGGCCGTCCTGAGACAGCAAAAGGCCGTGGGTAGTAAGCCGCCGATCCAAGCCCCGTACAGGAGCCGGCTGTATGGAAAAACACTCAGCCCCCGAAGACAGAGAAAACCAGGCAGTAAGAGTGGCAGGGCCCCCTCGAGGAGGTTGGAATCTCAAGCTGAGTCAGCTATGCCGAGAAGGATCCTGATTGGGAAGAAGTTCGACTCTGAGATGTTTGGGGGACAGCTGGGTGGCTGCATTCAAACATCTGGAAGCCTCAGGTTCTCCTTGAGCCTACTGGACACTCTCAGGTGCGGCCTCTCAAGCACATTAGAGGTTAGCGCCCTCTCTTTGCTTGGACCTGGGTGTCAAAAGGTAAATACATCTGCGTGTGCAGGGGAGAAGTTCAGAAAAAGAAGCCACCCTCAGAACCACAGAAAAACGCAAATCGTTGCACAAGAGCCCGCACGGGAAGCTCCCGGAGGGCCTGGGACCAAGGTCAGGGTGTTACCTGGGTCCAGGTAGATGCTGGCTGCCACACTGAGCCAGCTCTCTAGGGTGGCTGCAGGCTGGGGGTGGGGAGGGGTGTGGGGGAGTCTTCTCCGGCACCTGGCCATGCTGGTGGGTCAGCTCGCCCCTAACCAATGGCCTCTGTCCTGCTGGTACCTTTGCTTTGTCACCTCAGGCTGCTCCTCTGCATCTGGCCTCCCCACCCCGCCCCTTCTCCTGCAGACGCCAGAGGCCTCCTCGTGAGGAGGATCTGAGGGCTCTTCTCCTCTCCTGGCTCCTTGTGATGCTGCCGATGCCTCGTCCCTAGGGTTCGGGGACATGTCCTGATCCCGCTCTGCTCAGATCCCTCTCTCTCCCTGTGAGTGGCTCCTTGCCCCGGCCCCAGGAGTGTCCACTGCTCAGCTTCCCTGTGGTGACACATGGGCCCTCAGGACACTCTCCTGACACCAGTGGGCTCTGTTGTCTACTCAGCCACAGGGATAGCCAAATCTGTGCCCATCGTCCTGGACACTTTGGACCATCGGGGGTCATTGGTGGGATGGGGGTCAGCGGTGAGGAGCGGGGCTCTGCTGGCAGAGGGGGAGTCAGGTGACATGGCCCTCTGGGGCTTCTCTGTGTGCCCTGGACAACCTGGCTTCAAACTGCCATAGGGTGTCCCTGAGCACTGAGGCACAGGCCAGTCAGAGCCCACACTTTGTTGGGAGCCAGAGAGCCTTGTGGGAGAGAAGTAGAACCCAGCCCCGACTGGATTCACCACGCCCAGACCCTTCTGCTGGGCGGGGAGGGCCTGCCAGAGGCCAGGCTGCAGGGAGTGACAGCGAGGCCCCCAAGGGGAGCCAGCACAGGCGCAGAAGCATGGCGTGGGGACAGAAGGAGCAGAGTCAGCGCCAGGGCGGAGGTGGTTAGAAGGCCCTTTCACGGGAGCAGGTACTGGAGGGAGACTGTGGTTCAGAGTGAAACCGTACCAACCTGGGTATGGAAGGAACACCAGGCCAGTGGTGCCGGCACCGGGACGTGTGATTAGATATTAAACACACAGTCTTGTCCTCTCGTCTCGGGCCGTGCAGTCAGTGCTGCTGCTGTCCCTGTGTCAGCCCCGCAGCTAGAGCTGCTCTTCTCTCTGGCCCCTGCCTGAGCCCGGGCAGGGCCTGTGCACCCCTCGGAGCAGCCCTGGGCACAAGACACACAGGTCACAACAAGAAAGGAAATGGGCGTGGGGATGCTGACCCATGGGCACGCAGGGCAGAAGGGGCTCTGGGTCTGCGCCGCTGCGGGAATTCTATTTCTCTCCACGCGTCCCCATGGGGCCCACACTGCCCCTGCCTTGTCCCACAAGTCCCTCTGGGGACCCTCATGGAGTCTGCCACAGTTCCAGCCAGGCAGCTCTTGCCGTTTTACATTCCGAGTCCCAGCCAAAGCCTCTGCTGGAAAACGGGTGTGGGGCCACGGAGGCCTGAGTGCCGCTGGTGTGAGTGCATGGCCTCGGGTGGGACGCGGGGCTGGTGACCGCACTCTCTCCCCGGGAGGAGGACACACAGTATGCAAAGTCACGGCCTCCCAGCTGCTTGGAGAACGTGCCCTGGAGCAGCGGTTCTCGTGCCGGCTGCACCCCAGACGGAGAGTCTCCCCCAGAGCTTCAAAATCAGCAGCTCAGAGAGAGACACAGGTGTTAGGATTTTTCGATGCTCTCAGGTGATTCCAACGTGCAGCCACATGTCAGAGTTGCTGGTTTGAAGCAAAGAGAGCTGAATAGGGGACGGTAATGAATGGCCAGTGGCCTCAAGCCAGGATGCACATTATAGGGGTGTGAAGGCCAAGGGCTCCGGCTCCGCCCAGGGCTAAGACCACGCCCCGCCATGGGAAGGTGCACGGTTCTCCCCACTCTCTCACTGCCCTGGCCTGTGCTGACCGCCCTGTCCCCAGACCTCATGGCAGGGTTTCCGGGTAAACTATAGGACACTCCGTGAAATCCAAACTTTGAGTCAATAGCGTTTTAGTCTAAGTATGTCCCAAACATTGCATAGGACACGCTTAAAAAATTATTTGCTACTTGCCTGAAGTCAGTCCAAATTTCATCAGGCATCCAGCATTTTCGTTTGCTCAGTCTAGCAGCCTAGGAAGGTGCCTATCCTGAGGCCCCTCTGTTGGTCAGGCAGGTTTCATTGCAGCTCTGTGGTTGGAGTGAGTTCTCTGGTGCCGGGGGGGGGGGGGGGGGGGGGTTGGGTGGCCCTAAACGTTTCAGCAGATTGTCACTCGCTGAGGCTGGGACCAGAGACAAAGGCTGTTACTCCTGGTGGGGATGCTCTGATGTTCTTCTTTGTTTTCTTGCAGAGGGTATCCTTACCTTGGTCCCCGTCCTTCTGTCTCAGTGGCAGTGTCTGTCCCTTTCTCCCAGTTGACCAGGAGAGGCCCCGTGATGGCCCTCCCCTCCCCTCTGCTGCCCCCCCACATGTCAGCCATGTCTACTGTGCTGTCTTGTCTTGTTCTCTGGGGTTCCAGGTGTCCAGAGGTGTTTTCTGAGAGCAGGACTATCTGGTGGTCAGTCAAAACAGAGGCAGACTGAACAGCATGCTGGTCCTTCTCCGGCGACTCCTGCAGCTCGGGAGGTTGTGCTAGGCCACCAGAGGGCGCAGGGGAGCCACAGGGTCTGAGAGGGACAGAGGAGGCCTTTTCTGGGATCTGGAGGTTGTAGGGGCCCAGCCCAGGTTCTAGGCATGTTCCCCGCACCAGGCCTGAAAGCCAAGGCCTGAAGCACTCCTTCAGTGTTCGGTGGGTGCACCGAGTGGGGTCGTGGGCCCCAGGGGTATGTGTGCCCAAGGTTCTCCTCAGAGCGGTGGCCACACCACCTCAGGCTCAAGTACCCCTGGGCGGTGGCAGGCGTGGGAGCAGGATGGCAGGAGGGCATGAATCTATAAACCTCTCAGGCCGGGCCAGGTGACAGCCGAGTGCGGTGGAGAGCTGGGGGCCGAGATCTGCCCCCTGCCTCCGGATTTGGGAATCTTCCCCAGTGTGTCCCTGAGAGAGTCATGCCTGGGGAAGCAGACTTCGGTCACACGCCTGTAATGGACCGGGTAATGGACCAGGGTGGGACTTGGAGGGTCAAGGTCAAACCCTTTCAGTGGCTCGCCACTGTGTGCACAGTAAGCCCGTCTGCCTCTCTGGGCTTCTCAGCTCCACCTGCCTGTCCTGGAGCCAGATTTAGGGTTTCCTCCTTCCGCTCTGGAAGACTCCAACTTGGGGACACTATCTGGTGGCCAGCAGCAGGGCCAGGAAGACGTGAACAGGCCATTTGGGATGTCACCGGGCCAAAAGGCTCAGGCGGAAACCATGTGCAGTGGGAGGCGGCCCTGGGTGCGTACCACTGGGGCTGTCTCACCCGAGCTCGTTTTCTTCTCTGTAAAGAGGGCTTAATGGGGTCGTGCAGATGGAAGGAGACTTTTCTGGGGCTTAGCACAGAGCTAGAGCTATAAATAGCAGCCTCCTTGGGTGCCCAAGCTGGAAGGACCCTCAGGGGGGGCTTGCCTAGGCCTCCAGGGGCCAGAGGATGTGCACCTGTCCCTGTGGGTGGCACAGCAGGGATCAGTCCCCTGATCCTCCCTAAGCCCTGGGCCCTCCTCCATAATCCCCTCTCAGCTCAGTGTGCCTCGGTGACAGTGACGTTTGACCGTCAGACAGCAGGGACGGGGCCCTGCTGGCGTCCCCTGCCCTGCTGCAATTCGAAGGTGGGACTGGGGCGATTGGACATCTCAGAACATCACGGGAGGCAGGCCACACCTGCTAGGACAGCAGTGTACCCGGGTGTCTCCGATTTTCCTGCTTCCTGCACCTGTGCCCTGGGGCGATTGACTGGTGGGGACGTGGGGACCTTTGTCCTGGTAAGAGGGACCCCGTACCCTGGCTTCTGGTCTTCAGGAATAGAAATACCCAGCTTGGGGCTTCGAGATGGGGGGAGGCAAGGGGGAGGGGGCTGGCCTCCGCTAAGGACTGTACATCTGCAGGCCTGTGTGGGCTCCTCCCCACACCCCCAGGTTCCCCCAGCCCCACACCCTAACCTGTGTGTGAACGGCAAAGTTGGAGGCCATATGGGTAAATGTGGGGACCCCCGAGGATCCACTTTGATCAAGGGGCTTGTCTCTAGGGCTGCGGGCTGAGACACCCCACCCAACCCACAGCTGCATTAGAAGTGATCAGCGGGGCTCACGGCCCCTCCTCCCTGGTCTCTGGGCCTTGCCCAGCCCCCCTACCAGAGGGCAGTGAGGCTGGAGGCTGGAGGTTTAGAGGGGCTGCTGAGCAGGAAAGTGGGGGAGAGAACACCAGAGTTTACAGTCCCCAAAACGGCCCGGGGGGCAGGCACTAGGGAACGTGTCCATCTGCTTTGGGGCCGGCCCCTCCCCAGGTCCAGCTACATAAGAGGCAAGACCCTTTGCTACTCCCCATCAGGAGCTGGGCACCATTCTTTGCTGCTGAGGCCAGTTCCTGAGCCAGGGCACCCAAAGGTGGCACCAGCGGCAAGGATGTCCATGCAGGGTATCCACTGCCTGACGCCTGTGGCCCTGAGCCTGCTGCCCAGGGCACCAGAGCCCCCAAGCTGCCAGCGGCGCCACACACTTCCAGCCAGTGAGTTTCGCTGCCTCACCCCGCAGGATGCCACCAGCGCCTTTGAGATTGAACGGGAAGGTGAGCAGCCCACACAGAGCCAGGCTGCCCCGATACCGCAGCTGCCCTGCAGCAGGGAGACCCCTGCCCCTCCTGTCCTTGGCCCCGGGACCCTAGAGTATCAGACTGTGCGTGTGTTTCTGTGTGTACACGTGGCCCTGAATCCCCTGCGGGGCGGGCTGTGGGGTGGGCTGCGGGGCGGCCTGGGGCACAGCGGCCCAGTCGCCTGCCTGCCTTCGTTCCCTGCCGCAGCCTTTATCTCCATCTCGGGGACGTGCCCCCTGTATCTGCACGAGATCCAGCACTTCCTGACCCTGTGTCCGGAGCTCTCCCTGGGCTGGTTCCAGGAGGGCCGCCTCGTGGCCTTCATCATTGGCTCGCTCTGGGATGAGGAGAGGCTCACACAGGTGAGGACAGGGCAGGGCACAGCTGCCCAGCCCCTGGAAAGCCTCTGGAGGAGAGCCCCTCCCCCACCTCACAGAGCCAGGAGACGAGGGGAGGGGAGCCGAGAACTGGGGTTGCTTCCTCCAAGCTAGAGACATGAACACAGGCCACGAGTCCTCTTTCAGAGCAAGAGCCCTCGTGAAGGGTCTGCCATGAGGCTGGGGGAGTAAACCCAAACTGGGGTTCTCCCTGAGCGGGAAGGCGTCCTGATGGCAAGCACTCGGGGGACACCCGCTCTCGGGCCCTGGTGGGGGGCAGGTGTCAGCAGAGGTGGTGGAGTGGAGTCTCTCCCTTGCCCCCAGGAGGCACTGACGCTGCACAGGCCCGGGGGCCGCACGGCCCACCTGCACGTGCTGGCCGTGCACCGCACCTTCCGGCAGCAGGGCAAGGGCTCCGTCCTGCTGTGGCGCTACCTGTGCCACCTGGGCAGCCAGCCGACCGTGCGCCGGGCTGTACTCATGTGCGAGGACCCCCTGGTGCCCTTCTACGAGAGGTTTGGCTTCTACCGCGTGGGCCCTTGTGCGGTCACTGTGGGCCCGCTGACCTTCACGGAGCTCCAGTGCTCCCTGCAGGGCCAGGCTGCCTGGAGGAGGAGCAGCTGCTGAGCCGGCTGCCCAGGGCCCCGCGGGAGGCGGGGGAGGTGGGGGAGGCAGGCTGGGGCTCCGTTCCAGCCCCCACCCCTCCCGGCTGGGCTGAGCTTGAAGGGAGGCTGTGATTCCCGGCAGGAGGGAGGGGTAAAATAAAGAGAATGTGGCAGGTTCTCCAAGTTGTGTGTCCTGCAGTTTGTCCCCCTGGGACCCTCCAGACCTCCCGTACTCCAACTGCGCCCAACGTGGGCGTGGCTACTGGGGACAGTGAGCGGCTTCAGCTCCCCAGCTCCGGAGCTGGTGGGGGCCTTCCAGGCAGGCAGGCAGGCAGGGCTCAGTCCTCGGGTACCGACCTCCCCCTTACTCTCCCCAGTCCCAGGGATGGCCCTTCTCACTCTCAGCCCTGGAGTGGCGCAGTGGTTAGCTGGGAGCGGGAAAGAGCAGAGGCTGCCTCCCCCAGCCCAGGCACCCTGGGTCCTCTGCCCACAGGAATAAATGGCTGTGCCGCAGTCTCCTGGTGGCTGCCCTGAGTGGGGAAAGGGGCTGGGGGAGGCAGTGTTCCAATGAATGGCGTGGTCCAGGGCGGCCCCTCTCACTGCCCTGACAAGCGGGCGGGGCTGGGGGATGCCAGAAGTCCAACCCCTCAGGGGACCCCGAGGCCCTCCACGGAACCCCAACCTGTGTTCTGTTCCAACCGAATTCCCAGAAGTCCTGTGAGATCTCCACTGTCCCTCTGAACCAAGCCCCTGCCCCCAAGGTCCTCCTGGCTGACCCACCCCCAACCCCCCAAATCAGGCTCCAGCTTTCATCCTTCCTGACTCCTCAGATCAAACGACGACATTCCCTAGAGAATATCTTTTAATTCATTTGAGACGTCATCTATGCAAAGTTAGCGTTCCTTTTAAAAATTAGGACCATAATATAAATCAGTATAAAACGGGCCCGAACGAGCCTTTGGCCATCCCTGGGAGTGGATCCTGGGGGTGGCTCAGCAGCCACCCCAACCTGGGGTCAGTGAGGCAAAAGGTGTGGGGCCCGCTGTCACCTGAGCCACCCTGTGAAGAACACTGACTGGGCGGGGTGGGGGTCGGGGCACAGCCTGCGCGGTCTACAAAGCCGGCCACAAACGAGCGAGCAGCGCCCCTCCCTGTGCTCCTCTGCCAAAGACCACAGCCAACGTGTCTCCCACAGCGTCTGGTCACCTTACGGGCAGACCTAGCAGGCCACTGATGACAGGCTTGTAGGGTAGAGAGGGGAGGAGAAATGGGGGGAGGGGTACCTGGTGGGGTGCCCCGCCACGTCCCCGATAAGGGCCCACATACACGGGAGCAGTGGGAGGAGGCAGAGGCTGGGGTGGAGGGGAAAGCATCCTGAGGACCCTGGGAAGAAAGAAACCCACCCCCAGGAGGTGGTCCTGACAGCAGGGTAAGTCCGGCTGAGCCCTGAGCTTTGGAGGTGGGTGCTCGGAGTGCTCCCCGGCCTGAGCCAGGGGCTCAGGAGGAGGGACCTCAGTCCCCCAAGGAACCCACCCTGGTGACTGTCTCTGGGCCGGGGCCAGGGACAGGGCCCGGCCCCGTGTCCACAGATGGGCAGCTGGAGTGTGCACGGGGCAGCCCGTCCCAGGCAGTCTGCGTCCTGGGCGGGGCCTTGCTGGGCCCACCGGGCCGGTGGTCAGTGCAGCACCTGGTCCAGCTCGTATTTCTCGCAGAAGCGGCTGGTGAAGGGGAAGCAGGTGAGGTACTCGATCCAGGGCCAGTGGATGGGGTAGACGTAGAGCCAGATGACCAGTGAGGCGAAGAGGCCGGCGAAGACCAGCAGCGACACCAGGATGAGGGCGCGCTTCCGGTACTTGTCGCTGGTGCCGAAGGTGATGTAGGGCAGGAAGGCGAAGGCCAGCAGCAGGCCGCTGAGGAAGCCGAAGGTGTGGGCGACGTTGTCGATCCAGGGCAGCAGGCCACACACGAACAGGAAGAGCACGATGGCCGCCAGGTGCAGGAAGGCCTTCCAGGGCCGCTCCAGCAGCTGCCAGCTCTGGAAGAGCTCCACGAAGAGGCAGGCAAGGAGGCCGAACTGGGAGCCCGCCGGGCCCACCTGGGCGGAACGGGAGGGGCGACGGTCACTTCCAGGGGCCAGGGCTGCAGGGAGCCCTGAGCACCACCAGGCTGGAACGCCGGGACCCGACTCTTCCACTCCAGATGCCCAGGAGCACGGCGGACTGCCTGAGCCGCTGGACGGAGGCCGGGCTGCCTACGCCCACCCCTTCAGCCAAGGTGGAGAGCTCCGTGCCCGAGCCAGGGGAGGGCCAGGTGCCCAGCAGGGCAACAGGAGGACGAACGGATCAAAACCTGACACTCCAGTGGCTCAAGAACGGTCACACCCTGGCAATTTCCTATGATTCAACCTACGTGACATGGTGGCAGGCGGTGATGTGGCCATGAAGAAATGAGGCAGAGAAAAGGAACAGTGAGGGACAGTGTCCAGAAAGGTCTTTCTGGGGCTGCCATCTGAGCATGACTCTGGGACACGTTTCCTCACACTCAGGATTAAAGGATTGGCCAATAAGCCTCCAGCTTAGCAGTCGGACATCCACTGAGTCCAGCTGGCAGGGGCCGCGCTGCCCCGGCAGACTCTGGGTGGGCGGGGTGGGGAGCATTGGAGCCGGCCCTCCCCACCCTTCTGCCCTGCCGTGTCCCTACCTCTGCCCGGTAGGGGAGGAAGATGGCACTGGCAAGGTTGCCGGTGATGCCGCTGAGGATGAAGATGATAGAGATGCGATGCCAGCCGGCCAGCTTCTCCAGGTCCCGCAGGATGGTCATTTGGAAGACCACGGACACGGCACAGTGCACCAGGCTGGGGTGGGGCACACGCTGACGTCAGCCTCCCCACAGCTGCCCACGGCCACCAGTCAGCGAGGCGCTCCAGGAGCAGTGGGGCCCCGGGGCGGTGCCGGCTGCACCCCGGGCAGGGACCCCTCTGCCGGGGGTCCAGGTGGGCAGGTGGCCGCCACTGAGGAGCCTTACCCAGCGTGGAGGAACAGAGACAGCCAGAGCCTGTAGAACTGATCTGGGACCTCGGGGTTGAGAAAGGGCAGCAGCCCGCACACCTCGTCCAGGCAGTGCACCTGCGGGCAAGGGCACGGAGGTCGGAGTCCGGGACCCAGCTGGGTGAGCGCCCTGATGTGGTGAGGCCAGTTCCAGTAGCCGCCACGCCCCACCTCACCTGGGAGCAGAGTGTCGCCTCTTCGTGGAAATAGCCGTGCATGAATTCGCAGTACTCCCGAGTGGTGATCTCGCAGCTGGAGAGCAGGGTGTGTGTCAGGGCCCTGAGCACACACCCCTGCCCACCTCTCCAGAGCCAGCGTCTCCTGGCCACAGCCAGCATCACCAGTGGGAAGGCGGGGCCCCTCCACAGAGACCAGGGCTCTGAGGAAAACACCCCGTCGTCCCACCCCCACCACAGGTGGCCCAGAGTGAACAAGGAAGGATGGCAGCTGGCGCAGGCGCAGGCACAGGGGGGTGGAGGTCTGGGCGGAGGGCCCGCTGGCTCACCTGCCCTTGGTGCCGATGCAGCAGGGGCGGCCCTTGATCTGACAGTCCATATGCAGGAAGCCCGAGCGGTTGCTCTTGGCCTGCTCCGTGCAGATCTGTGGGGCGCCGACACGGGTGGGCCTGTGTGGCAGGACCCCCCTGCCCCCCTTCCCAGACCACTCTCTGCCTGGCTACTCACTGGCCACTTGGTAATGTCATCAGGCCAGATGTGGGGACCGCTGGAGGCCGGCTCCTCGCAGGTTCTGGGGGCAGAGGTGGGAGGGGCCAAAATGAGGGACAGTGGCACCCCCCCCCCACCGATGCCCTCGTGGGCGGCACAGACAACACAACCAGAGCCCCGTCTTCCCAGCAGCCTGGGCGAGGGCCACCCTGGGGCTGCACCTGGGGTCCTGCTGGCACACGGCCCCTGACGTCCGCTTCAGGCCCAGGTCAGACTTGTCCATGGGGGGCCCTGTGTCATCCTGCCACTTGACAAAAGTAGCCAAAGTTTCCTGCAGGATGGAGGTGGGCTGGTCATGCCGGGACAGGGCCACACCCACTGAAGCGGTCGGGGAGGGGGGACCCCCAGGATGAGGGCTCTTCCCTGATTTCCCAGAGCCCAGGCCCATCTCTCAGACCCGGAACCAGGAGACCCAACTGTCACTTGCTCGGGCTGGGGAGGTCGGCATCCTCCCTGTGTGAGGACCCTCCCCCCGAGGCCGGGGTGGGCCGCCATGGCACGGGGCCCCACCGAGCAGTCCTTCCGCTGGGTCTGGATGCAGCCCGAGTTGTCATTCTGGACACAGCAGCCCGAGTCCCGCTCCAGGTCTCGCTCCCGCGACACCAGCTGCTCGATCTGCTCATCCTTCCGGATGCAGGGGGAGAACTTGGCTCCCAGGTGGATCAAGTCGATCTGGGGTGCGGGGAGGGGGTGAGCTTGGGCCCAGACTGGCCGCTCTCTGAGTCTCCTCTGGGGAGAGTGCTACTGGGCAAGCTGACCCCCCTCCCTGCCCAGTGGGGGAGCCAGGGCCCAGGACCCCCTGCTGAAATCCTCCCCTCCAGCTCCCCTGGCCCTCACCGAGCTGGGGCCGATCCAGAAGTTCTCCTGCTGGAGGTACTTCACACTCTCGTACACACCTTTGTTCCTGAGCACCTGTGCGGAGCAGGAAGGACAGGAGGAGGGTCAGGGGTTCCGTCCTAGGGTTGGGCCCCCAGGAGAGCCCAGCACACCCTCCCGCCTGGGCCAGGCCATTGCTGTGGGAGGCCCATGATGCTGAGGCCTCTCGGGGGGCCGAGACCTCCAGGGTGGAGCCCTGCTTCCACAGCCGGACTCACCAGCTGGGTGGTGATGTGCTGGGCGAAGCCCACGGGCGCGATGCCGTACGTGCAGATCACCAGCAGCGTGATGATGATGTGGACGAATGTCAGCCAATAGGTGAAGTAGGGCCTGTGGCAGGGCCTGCGTCAGCACCCTGACCCTCGGCTTGCACCTGCTTCCTGCCACGGGTCCCTCACCAGTGACTTCTGAAGGCACCTCTATGCGCCTCTCTCCCAGGCTGAGACCGTTGGATGACTTCCCGCCACCCCTGGGAGCGAGTCTAACATTGACCCCTCCTGCTGGTTGCAGGCCTGCTGTGCCCACCCTCCCCCCAGCCTCCTTCCTCTCCTCCAGTGGTTCCTTGCAGCCCCAGGGCCTTTGCACGCACTGCTTTCTTTGTCAGGGATACTCTTCCCATTTCTCTTCAGCCAACTAACTGCCGCTCACCCTGAAGGCACCCTCCTACCTTGCAGCTGTTCACTCCCACTCTGTCTCCCTCCTCAGGACACTTGCCACACGTTATTACTTAATTTTTTGTATCTTAGGACGCAATGTCTATTGGGTCCCTGCCAATCGTCCACTCTGCAAGAACGGCCTTTGCCCATTTCTTTGGCTTCCTCCAAGGTCTCTGCACCTGTCTGCCCCCACAGTGTCCTCACTCATCATGGTCCCAGTCCGTCTGACCCACCCGGCCCTCCCCGCTCCGGTCTGCTGGGGCTCGGTTGCCGGGCCTATGACCTGGCACGTGGCCAATGCTCGCAGACGGACTGCTGGCTGGGAGCCCCAAAGTGAGGAGGGTGGAGAAGAGGTGGTGGGGGCCCCGGGACGGCACCCCGCCCGCTCACCGGTGGCTGTCGAAGCTCTCCAGCTGCCGCTGCACCGTGCTGCTGATGCTGCGGCGGTAGCTGCGGTTCAGCCAGTTGCCCACCACGCCCAGACCGTAATGCCGCTTCTGTCGGTCGAAGGCAAAGTGCCTCACCTTGGAGGCGATGCGCTTGCCGCGCTTGGCCGCGGGCACGGGGGCGTGACCGTGCTCCTTCCTGCTGGCGATGGCGGCTCTCAGCCCGATGCCCGCCTCACACAACCCAGGAGGGGCCTGTGGCCTGGGGGCCCCCGCAGGGTCACTGGGCTCTGGGGACCCCTTTCCTGGCCACACCACCTTCCCCCTCCTGCAGGTGGGGTTGCCCAGAACTCACAGAGAGACCTGCACCCCGCCGGGGGAGACAGGTGAGGCGGAGCGGGGGACCCCCCGGAAGTATCTGGCAGAGAGTGGGGGAGACTCAAACACATCGTCAGGCATGGAGCTCATTTCTTCCTGGGGTGGTGGAGGAGTGGGGGACACAGAGAGGTGGTGTGAGGAGTCACTGCCCAGGTACTGCCCCCCCACGGTGCAATGCAAGGGCAGGAGAAGGCAGGGCAGGCAGATGCTTTGGGACGGAAGCAAAAGGTCCAGGTGTTGGCCCTGCAGGACTTTCTTGGCTGGCGTCCTGCCTCACCCCCAGGTCCCCGCTCTGCCCAAAAGAAGCTCACGAGGTGGCACATCCCCTCCCGCCAACGGGCCTTCAGATCTCAGGGGCTCCTGGCAGGGAACAGTCACAGCCAGGCCGCCTCTCCTCGCTCCCAGGCCACCCTGTGCCCCTGCCCTGAGGGCCCACACCCCATGCTTGCCTTACTAAAAAACGAGGAGTCAAATGTGTCCGCCCCATCGACCACATCCTCCTCCAGGAAGCTGGGGTAGGCGAAGCTGCGTTTGACCACCCGGCACCGCTGCCCGGCGGCGTCCAGCATCGAGCGCCCCTGTAGAGGAGGGGCAGAGGCACAGGCATCAGGCCCAGGTCAGGGCCCCCTGACATCAAAGGAATCGTCCAGCCCACCCTCCTGGGGACGGTGCCCTGGGAGGCGGGACCCTGCCCAGGGCAGGGAAGGCCAGGAACAAGGCACCAGCTTCTCCACAGCCCCAACCACATCATCCCTTCTCCACGGTTTGCTGCTGCCTTCTCCCTGGCAACCTCCTGCCCTCTGGCTGGGCAGGGGGCACCTGACCACTCATCCTGCCCCCTGTTCTTGAGACTCGGGCTGTCTTCCCCAGTCCTGGCCTTGGCAGGGCACACTAGGCCCCTGCCCACCTTTCTGAGCCCATCTCCTTCTGCTGTAACTAAAACCAGGCGGAACCACCTGCTGCTCCTCCAGAGTGCCGCACCCCCTCCTACCTCCAGGCCTTTTTAAAATTTTTCAAAACTACTGATCTTAAAGGGGGAGGGGGAGGGAGAGGGAGAGAAACATCGACCTGCTGCTGTACCATGCATGCGTCCCCTGGTTGGCCCCTGCACGGCCTGAGACCGAACCCACAGCCTCGGTACATTAGACAACACTCCAAACACCTGAGGTGCTGGACCAGGGCCCCGGGCCTTTGCACAGGCTGTCCCCCCTGCTGAGAATGCTGTTCCCTTCTTTCTTCCCCTTATTCTTCTGGGCTTAGCTAAGGTGACTTCTCTGACATCAGCCCCCCCGCCTGGGCGACATGGGGCAGCACCCCCTCTGCAGAGACCCTGTACCCATCACACTGAATGGTGATGTCCACCCGCACCTGGGCCAGGGGCCCTTCCAGGGCTGAGACACTGGCCCATCTCAGCCCGCAGCCCCTGCCCAGCGAACCTGGGTGATGAGTGGTAAGTGTGTGCTTCACTTCTGCTTCCCCAGCCTCTGCATCGGGGCAAACGGTCTCCCAGACCAGGGAGACGGCGGGGGCGTCAGAGGGAACCGAGGCTGGGACGTGGGCCCCTTTCTCTACCCTGGGTCCCAGGCCCAGAGCCCAGACAAGGGTCTGGGGAGAGGGAGGGAGAGGCCTCACCTTGAGGAGGGCGGAGGCCGCTTGGAGGCTCATATGGGCCACAGAGACCCTCTTCCTGCGGGGCAAGTGGGAGTAGCCAGAGCGGACGCTGGTGAAGGAGGTGAGGGACAAGACCCCTGGTGTCAGCGGTGGGTGCGGGGCGTGGGGCCGGTCCACCTCGTCGGGGTGGCGGAACGCCCGGCCTCGGGCCAGCGGGTCCACGATCTGGAAGGGAGGGAGGAGGTGAGCAGAGCCGCCAGCCCCTGGGCACTGTCGCCAGCCACCCCCTCCAGACCCGAGGCAGCCCACCTTGGGCATCTTGCAGGACTTTGGAGACTCGGTGCCCTGGAAGGAAGGCGTGTCCTGGCTGGGGAGCTCCAGCTCGCGCTGGCACGAGGGCTTGAGGCGGCCGTAGCGCAGGCTGCAGTGGTGCAGGCTCCTGCGCTGCCAGTGCTGCCGCTCCAGCGCCCAGTCGCCGCTGACCCCGAACCACTGTGCGGTGCCCCTGCGACAGAGGCAGTGTGAGCGTGTGCACGGGTCAGCTTTCGTGCGGGCCCCTGGTTTGGCACCCAATGGCCAGATAAAGTGCGGAACGTGAGGAACTGGGCCGGGACAGCCCCTGGGAGCTGCTCTGAACAGCAGTGGTCCCCACTCTCTGCTCCTGGAACCCCCTGGAATCCACCTGTGACTCTAGGCCGGACCCATATCCCCGGGCCTCCACGCCCCCTCCCCCAACATGTTCACCTCTGCAGGGAGGGGCTGCTCCTTAACATCTGCCCACACCTTCTGCCACGGGGACCCAGACATGTGCCCTGTGAGCCTGCAGGGACACTGCCAGGGCGTGGCTGGGTGGTGCAGGGGCACGCTCACTTTCGAATGCTCTGAGACAGGGAGGCCTGGCGGCGGAAGCCAGGCCGCTTCTCCGAGCCCTCCTGCCATCGTCCCCGCGGCTCCTGGAGGCTGACACTCTTCAGGTAGGCTGGGTTCCTGGGCCGCTGCGGGGAGGCGGGGGGAAGCAGGGGGTGGGTGTGCGCAGGCCCAGCCACTCCACAGAGCCCAGGTCCCCGACTAGGCCTTCTCTGGCTCCCGACGTGAAAACCCAAGGACCAACCTCAAACCCCATCTACACCCGGAGCTGCTTTTATTTGAATGTAAGATCACCAATTTCTAGTGTTTTTCAGGAAGCCCTAGCACGCGTCTCCCCACTCTTTGTTCGCTGCCCCTCCTGTCACGCTGTTTCTGTGCGTCGGCAAGAGCCCCCGGGGTGAGCGGGCGGCACAGACACAGGCCCCTTTATGTAGCAGGCTGTGCGGGAACCCACGCCGTTTGCAGCCCGTTTTCAATGAGCTCTTTATGGACCGACGGTCCAGCCTGTCAGACACGTTGCTCCATTTCCATTCTCAGAGGAGCAGGCACTGGGAAGTTGGGCTGCCGATGCTGGAGACACACGGGGGGGCCCCGCACCCAAGTCCCAGACAGCCCACACCCTCGGAAGGGCCCGGGCGAGGGCCTGAAAACAGCCAGGTCCCAGGTGGGACTGACAAGCCTGTCCTCAGAAGCGGCTTTCCTTTTTTTCCTGGACCCCCAGGAGACAGAGCGCCGACCCCCTGCGTGTGATGTTTGGGGACTGGAGGGAGGGGTCAGGCCTGAGTTGGGGGCCACATAGGCAGCTGTGCTAGGGTGGAAGGGGCCTCCTCCAGGAAGTGAAACTGCCTGAGACGTGTGACGTGGGCACATCTGTCACCTGTGGCAGGGCACAGCCCCCGGGCCAGCCCTTACCGGGGCCAGCATGCTGGTCTGCTCGTCAGGGGCCGGGGCCTCGGGCGGCGGGATGGTGATGGACAGGTTGGGCGGCTTCCGGCTCTGTAGGCGGCTGCCGGGCACAGAGGAGACGCTCTCGCCGTTCCTGTCTGCAGAAGCCATGGCGGGCAGGGGGCGGGACGGCTGGAAAAGAGACGGGGGCACAGGTGTGTTGAGACCTGGACGGCACATGGGGATACATGTGCCCCGATTGGGAATCGAACTGGCAACCTTTGGGTTCGCAGGCCAGTGCTCAGTCCACTGAGCCACAGCAGCCAGCGCCAGAAGCTGTTTCTAACCTGACTCCAGACCCTAAACCACGTGGCAGAGACTGAATCTGGCTGAGCGAACACGGCAAGAAGGTCTGTGTCTGTCCCCACCTCCCCACCTCAGTCCATTTCTGGTCTCAGCTCGGGCAGGGGAGCACACCCAGAGAGGGGCAGGGGGACAAAGGGCGGGGCTGCAGGGATCCTGGCTGCCAGGCGGCGAGCCCGGCCTTTGTCCCTGTGGCAGGGCTCAGGGGAGGACAAGGCGGCCAGGGAGCAAGCTGGCAACCGGGCCACTAACAGCCCCCACACTGCCCGGCTCTCAGAGGAGGCCCTGGGCTGGGGGGAGGAAGTGGCGGCCCAAACTGGAAAGCCACCTGTCCCTGCTGCTCGTGGCCGCCCGGTTCCCTTTTCAAAGGGAACTGAGACTGCCACGTGCCCGGCGCTTTTTTACTTTTCGTGGAGGAAAACATTCCATCTTACTGTAAGAGTGGTATCAGGGCACTTTTCCATCCAAATTTCTGAGGGATAAATAAGGAGGCGGCCAAATAGGGTACATGTTCATTGAAAGAAAGAAAGACTCCGAAGACCAGAGGAAGCAGACCGCGAACTCCTGGCCACCGGTCCCCCGGGAAGGAGCTGCGTGCCTGTCCTTCCAGATGCCCCTCTGCACCTGGGACAGGACCCGGGGACCTACTTCCCACACTCACAGCTCTTCTTCTACGGCGTGCACACCTCCCCGCCCACAGGCACAGGCAGATCCACCCCATCCTGCCCGGTGATGGTCGCACTGAGTGACCGGGCCGCAGCGGGGGGAGGTCCCCTGGGCTGAGTCCGGCACGTCAGACCCTCGCACACAGGTAACGGGACCCCTGCCCGTGTTATGCGCTTGTCCGAGTGCAACCACAGACCGAGTTCTGGAAGTGGGCAGCATTTTCAACGACCTTGCCCAGTGGCCCTGCCGAGAGGGGGTAGTAACTTACCCCTATCTGGGTAAATTCACCCCAGGCTCCACTCCCACTTCCCCTTTGATTCCACCGGAATCAGTGCCCTCTGCCTACTCTGTGCTTGCCTCTTCATGGCTCACTCTGCCCTGTGACCTCTTTCTCACTCAAATCCTTGGCTTTTTCCTAATCCCACCTCCCAAGGTCCTGGGGCAGGTTTGGTCCCTCCTGGCCTCACACAAAGCCGGGGGCTCCGTGGCCACCTTCCAAGGACGGTGCCGACCCTGGGTGTGCACAGGCTGCGGGGAGAGTCACATGGGAGCCACCCGGCCAAGGGACATGGAGCCAAGGTGTGGGATGACAGGGCAACTCAGTGGCCACATGTGTTCCAAATCCGCCCATGTCCTCCATCTCTACCCAGCACCTACCAGAGGCACCATCTTCTGTCACCTGAAGCATCACAGCGGCCTCCAGACTCATCGACCTGCTGCCCTTGGGCCCCCACCCCATGACCATTCTCCACTCGGCAGCCAAAACTGCCTTTTAACAGCACAAATCACACCATGTCACTCTCTGCTCACACCTAAAATCAAGTCCTGACTCTCACTGGGAGCTCAGGGCCCTGCGTGGCTCTGTCTCCTCCTTGCTCACCCATCTGTGGGCCCCTCACCATCTCTCACCTGCCCAGCTCTGCAGGAGGTGCTGGGGGGCGGGGTCAAAAGCACAGACTGGCACTTGCGGCCGGGGCCTGCCCCACACAGGGGCCTGCACTTGACCTTGGCCACCACATCCTCACCCCAATGGGGGGAGTAACCTCCTGCCTCCTGAGCATTGAATGAGTGGACGTGACAGACACATGCAGCGCGTCCTCACTGAGCCTGTTCCGGAATGTCCGCGGTGGTGCCTCCGTCAGGCCCAAAGGGGGACACGGCCCACGTGGGCACAGGAAACTCAAGGCCCCCCAACCCTGGGGCACTAGCAGGAGTGGAGTGCCTTGGGGGTTGTGCCCAGAGCCACACAGAGACCACAAGCAACAGGAGTCCCTTCAGAGAAAAGCCCCAAGAGGCCGATCTAGAGACAGAAAGATGAGTCCAGGCTCGGGGCAGCAGGGAGGATGTGGGTTACATTCGAGGGGATGAAAATGTCCCAGAGCTGACTCTGCCGACGGTCCTACCCACCAGCGATGAACCAGCACCCACTGGATGGCACATTCTTTTAAAGGGATGAACTTTATGTGAATCACATCTCAGTAACGCTGTCCATAACATGTCTCAAGGCCTGGCTGGTGCGGCTCAGTAGATTGGACACCAGCGTGTGAACCAAAGGGTCACTGGTTCGGTTCCCAGTCAGGGCACATGCCTGGGTTGCCCTCCAGGTCCACAGTACAGGGTGTGCGAGAGGCAACTACACAGTGATATTTTGCTCTCTCTCCCTCCCTTCCCCTCTCTCTAAGAAGTTAATAAATAAAATCTTTTTAAAAAGCAAAAAAAAGAAACTCCATAAATGTCAGGCCTCTGCTGTGCTGGTCCCTCCACCCCCAGATCAGACCATCACACAACAAGGTGAGCCGCTCCTTTTTATCATTCCAATCCCAGCTTGAGTGCCACCTCCTCCAAGAAGCCCTCCCTAACTGCCTGAAGCAGCCGCCTTGTATTCACGGCCGCCTCCACTGTGCGAAGAGCGCTCGCCCACAGTCGCTGACCCTCAGTAGCCAGTGCCATGGGCCCGGGCCCCCGGCCGCCAGCTTCCCACCTTCAGTGTCAGGGCTCAGTGCGCAGCTTCCTAGTCTGGTGCGGGTCTTTAGAGCATGTTCCAGTCCCTTCCTCACCGTGCACAGAGGCTCTGGGATCAAGCTTCTGCAGGGTGGAGAGGTGGGCGCGTCCAGGGACAGATGGAAAGATGGACAGACAGCTCTGTCAAGCAGGCTGGCAGCTCCCTCGTGCTCACAGCCCACAAGCCTGTACGAAAGGAAGGGCAGGTTCAAGGGGTGCATCAGGACCTCAGCCTCCTCACCCGTAAAGTGAGGATAACCGTGCCCCCCCGCACCCCAAGGCTGAGGGGTTAGAGGAGGTACGTCCCTCCTCCCCGACCTGAGGGTCCCTGGTGGTGGTGAGCTCCAACCCTAACCTACAAACCCCCACTCCGGGCTGGGAACCCAGAATCAAGAGGGTCTTTTTTGTTTCAACAGCACTTTACTAGAAACATTCAACTTCAAAGACCCCGAACTGTTGGCTGTCTTCTAAGACTTTTCTCTTCAGTGTGAACAAGCCAGGTACCTACGGCAGCAATCAGATGCGCTGCAAGTCTCCGCTGTTTTGGTTCATTAAGTAAGTTGTTGAGATGAAAGCCACCGGCGTTTAGAAGGGAGGAACTTGGGGGCGTCCTCTTTGCCTTTGAGAAGTCCTGCAGCACTGGGCCCTCAGGGTGCACCCCCCCCATACAGAGCCCCAAGGGCTGCTGGGGGCAGGGGCAGGTCCTGAGGTGCACCAGGCCTTGCAGGCCCTTCCTGGGCAACCTCATCCACAACACCCTTCAGAACGGACTTTACCATGTTTCCCTTTTGCAGGCGGGGAATGGAGGCCCAGAGGCGCTAAGGAATGTGCCCAAGACCACACAGCCGGGAAGGGCCTGAAGTCCCAGCACCGGGCCTCTAGCACCGAGGCCTGAGGTCTCCTTGGGAAACTGCTGCCCCTCACCCTCCCTAAACCTGGGGTACACTCACGGCTGGACGGTCCCCTATCAGGGAGACAGAGTCCTACCCCCAGGGAAACTTGGTCAGTGTCTGAGCTGTTTGCAAACTGTGTTCTTCACAGGCCTGGACACCCAGAGGTGCCCGAGAAACTGCCACAGGGTGGACCAGACGCTGGGGGGTGGGTCTGGGCCCCCCCGCGTCCACAGGGCAGCACCCTTTTTGCTTTACATATTGGATCAGGGCTTTTGCCTGCCTAAGTCCTCTGGCTACAGGTGAGAGGAACTCTGAGTGTGCAGGGGCCCTGGAGAGCAGGCGAGGCAAAGCTGGGGGCTCGGGTGTGTCCTGCCTCTCTAGGCCAACAGACTCCAGCACCCTGTCTTCTACACGCAAACACCAGCAGTCCCGATCCCGTGGGCCCAGGGCAGAGGGCCTCAGCGCCCTGGGAGCCCTGTGATGATGGCGCTCTGAGCCCACTCTGGGGACAGCTCCAAGACAACAGCCTCGCCTGGGGCCCCTGCACAGAAACCTCCCCCAAGTGGCCTCCTCTGGGACCAGGGTGCAGAGAGAGGGCATTGGGGGAGCATGTCCTGGGGAAACTGGCCCCAGGAATGGAGGCTGGGGGTGAGTGTGGGGTTGCCGGGCCCAAGCTCCGGTAAGGTTGCCAAACAGGCAGGATCCTTCTGGAACTTAGAGCTGACCACACCCCCTGTGAGTCGGCACCCCTCGCTTTTCAAAACCTGTCCCCACACCCCAACAGACACACCTTCTCTTATCTGAGGCCCTGCACCCAGCATGCTCAGCTCCACCTTGGCTGCCAGCTGCTTTAAGGAAAAAAATGCCACCTCTTCCAGGAAGCCTTCCCTGTTCCCACCAGACAGAATCAACCACTGTCTCACCTGCTCTCTCCTAGCATCCTGAGAGATGAGTCCACATGTACGTGTCCCCATGGCCACACAGCCCCATTCACAGCTCACCGAAGGGAAGGCAGGTGGGAACGTGGGCACACAGGGGTGGGCAGTCCATGTCTACCCAGAGCTGACTCTCTCACCCCCCAATTCTGCAACCAGCCCCAGAGGCAGCCTCCTCATCCGGAAGACCCCGCTAAGTGCTGCCTGTTCCACCCAGGCTCCGTGACTGGGGCTGAGCATGGAGGATGCTGTCCCAGGGTGGGTCCCCGATGGACCTCCTGCTGCCCCAGCCGCCCGCCCATCCCAAGGCCGTCCCACCCCTGCTGGGACCCCGACCCAGGACCCACTGTGCTTCTGGCATCGGTGCAGGCTGAAGGACTGGGTGACCCTGGCCCTACAGAGCAGGGGCAGGGCCGCCTTTTCTGGGGAGGGTGTGGTGTCCAGGAGGGCCACTTTCCCCATCTTCACAGGGCAGTGCGAGCCCCGGCCTGGGAGCCCCTCCCTCCCTGTCTCCTCTCCACTAAGTGAGGGAGTTGGGTAAGGTGACGGCCCAGCCTCAACACCCAGGAAGCCCGGGCATCTGGCATAAAAACACCACTTTCCCCCGGCCCCTGTCCATGGAGGCGGGGAAGGGGGGACAGGATGCCTGAGACCACTCTGCACCAGGAGCCCTGCCCCGCCCTTTGGGCTCCAGAGAGGGTGTCAGCACTGGGGTGCTCACACCCACTCTGGACGCCTGCACAGTAGGGCAGGGAGGAGCCCAGGCTGCCGAGACCAGGGAGGAAAAGGGCTGGGGCCGCGGGAGTGCCTCCCCAGCACTTATCTCCTGCGCCCCAGAAGCGCCTGCTCACTGCAGGAAGTTATGACATCCTGGGACCAGGCTTCCTTCCGGCCACAGTCACGCCCGCTGCTCTGGGACCCCCGGCAGGCGGCAGCGCCCAGCCCACGAGTGGGGTCGGGTAGGAGTCTGAGGGCCTGGCCCACCTCGGCCGGACCCCCGTCTCGGTGGGGCCTCCCCCAAAAAGGGCCTCGGCCCCAGGGTAGTTAGGAAGCTCCCAGGGGCCTGGGTAGAGGGAGGACCTCAGGGTGGGGTCCAGCAGAGGTCGAGGTAGGGCAGACCCACTGAAAAAGTGAAGTGCAGCATTCAAATCACCCCGAGGCACTGCAGGCGCCCCACTCCACCCAGTCTGCACCGCTGCCGCCCTCACACCCGGGAGCCTGAGGCCAGCGAGTGATCACGGCCAGGACCCAGCCCCTGAGACAGAGCTGCAGGCTCGGAACCTGCTGATGCAGGGGGAACAGCTGGTTCCCCCACAAAGGGTGGGGCTGGGCGCTGCCAGGTGAGCCAGGTCTCAACCCAGAGCGGGGCTCACCAAGTGTCCCCCAGGGGAGTCCCCGACGGCAGCACTGTGCCTTTCATGAAGTGCTGGAGGAAGCCCCCCCAACCCCCCCCCCCCCCCCGGTCTGCCAGCCTGCCCCCAGCTCCACCAGCACCAAGGAGACTGGCTCCACTGGCCTCCCTCTCACTCTACCTGCCGGCCACCAACGCACGCTAGCAGGTTCTGGAAGACTCCCTGGCCTCGCTAAGGGGGGGCAGTCTCCAGAACCCCCAGGCCCTGAGGACTTGAGGAGCCAGCAGCAGCTCCCAGACAGAAGCGGGCGACAGACTGGAGGGCCCAGAGTATCTGTGACCACAAATGGGGACCCAAGGGGGTGGCCGGCCCTCCCAAGAGAAGGCAGATCTTTTTCACCACGAGGTGTGACCAGGAGGCTAGGGGACCTCCAGCAGGGATGCAGAAGTCCCCTCCAGCTGGCCCTGGCTCCCAGCTATGAGCAAGTGGATAGGGCCAAGGGCAGGGGTGCTAGGCTGCCCAGCGGTCCCCTGCTGACTCACAGGATGACAGGGGGAGGGGGCGAGGAAATGGCGCCTCTCCCTACTTCCCTGCCACAGAAACTGAAACTGGATTTTCCCTCCCACAGCCCTTCTGGGAACCAGTCGTTTTTAGAAAGCAGCAAAGAGGAAGCCGGGCCCTCCCAGCCGCGCAATCCCCGCAGAACCCCTGCTTCTGCTAAACTGGGGTGGGGGGGTGGCTCCCGCCCCTGCACACCTCCCTGCCCTCGCAATAGGGCGTGGCTGGTGACGGGGGGGGGGGGGGGCAGTGCAGAAATGCAGGGAAGGCTGGCAGAGGGCCCGAGGACCAGGCTTGGGAAGACAGAAAGAAGCAAAGTCCCAGCTGGAGGCTGAAACCCAATCACCAAAGTCAGAGCGGGCACAGGAAGAAAGGGACCCCCTGTGCCCCTCTCTCCTGGCCCGCACCCACATCCCCTGAGGTGCCGGTCCACGGGCACAGGCCAAACACAAAGCAAAGGGAGCCCCCCGCATAGGGACAGGGTCTCCTGCCCCACTGCCCCCCACGGAGAGGAAAAATGGAGCCACCTGCGGTTTGTGTCCCCCACACCCCACGGGGAGAGGTCCCACTCACCACCGACACCCTGCCCAGAGAACCCCCTAGTTCCCCTGCAAACTTTATGGGCTTTGCTCAAATTCAGTTCAAGAGAAAGAACTGGAGGGGCAGGTTTGGGACCTTGGGGACCCGCCAGCTTGTCCCATCAGACCCCAGGTTCCAGGCTTCCCGTGACCCAGTCAGAGTGGCTTGGGTGGCAGGGCCAACCACAGGCCCGGGAAGTGGGTGCATGGCTCCAGCGTGCTGCCAAGAGCAGAGTGAGCATGGGGGGCTGCCCTGCCCTTAGCGCAGTGAGGACCCTGGGGCCTGGCGGCACCCCCATCAGGCTTCCTTGGGGCGATGCAGCACACGGGGCCGGCACCACAGGAAGTGACAGTGTTGCCAGGTGTCCCTAGCTGGACACGGTGCTGGGCCCTGCCCACCAGGATGCCCTCCCAGGGGATCCCCTCTGGGACCCTAGAAGCTGCTGGTCAACACGGACAAGCGGGTCAGCAGCTGAGCAGGGATGCAGGTACCTGGCCGGAGGCCTGGGACAGTGCCCTTCTGGGGCCAGCAGCACCTCCCAGAGCCTGGAGGCAACCACAGGTCGGGGCCTCGGGCAGAAGGGGGCCCGTGTTCCCCAGCCCTGCTGCCCCGGCCCCCGCCAGCACTTCTGGGAAGGGAAAGGGCCTGGTCTTTGGGGCCTGACACCAGGGAACAGGAGGGTTCCTGGAGAGGGGGCACAGGGCCTGCTGGGCCCCGCACACTGGACTCGGAACTCAACACTCATGGACGCCTCTCTCGGGATCCCAGGGCGCCAGGGCATGGGTTTGCACTGGTCCTTGTAACCGGCAGAGGCCTGCACATGCTCAGTGGGTGGGGGAAAGACGGGACAGCCTGGCTCCAGCAAAAACACCGTCCAACTGGGGAGACAGTCTTAGGCTCAGCCCTCAATGCTGTGTGATCTTGGACAAGCCACTTGGCATCTCTGAGCCTCAGTTTGTTTATGCTTAAAATGCTGAGTAGTATCCCAGGGGTCTGAAATCTTGGTGCCCTTGTTACGATTAGCCGGGACTCTCCCCGGAGGCCCACACGGCCGAGGGACAAAGTCTTTTATGGACAGGTAAGCCCCTGACCCCCCCTTCTGGCCAGAAGCCTGTCCCTGAGCTGCCCTGGGCCCTGGACAGCCACACTCTCAGAGAGGGTGCTGGGTGCCCCCAGCAGGGAGGCAACATGCCAGGCAAACACTTCTCAGCTAGTAAACAGTCATTAAAGAGCTAATAAACCCGACTTTCCAGAACTCAGCCCTGGGGCTTGCTGGTTCCACGCTGTGGAAGAGCTGGCCCCAGACCCTTGGCTGCCAGGGCTTCAAGGCACTAGGACACCCCATCTAGGCCACTCCCACCAGGGGGGCTTGCAAAGCTACCTACTCACCGCCCTGGCTGCTGTGACTCAGTGGGTCGGGGATCCATCGTCCAGCAAACCGAAAGGTTGCCGGTTCGATCCCCAGACAGGGCACATGCCTGGGCTACTGTGAGCGGCCATGCTCACAGTTGGGGTGTGCAAGAGGCAACCGATCCATGTTTCTCTCCCTCTTTCTCTCTCCCTTCCCTTAAGTCGCCTGTCCGAGGCTCCACAGTTAGGAGAT